TTTGTTTGTTCCTGGTGGCTGGGCGGCCGTTTGTTGATACTGGTTTCACGGCACTTAATTATTTGTTGTTGGTGCTTTCCTCGCCTTTGGAGCGTGTCTATTGAATTTCTGGTCGTGGTGTGTATATAACAAGACATGTGGCTTGGGGCTAGCTGCAGAATTTGCATGATGGTTTATGTTGCATACCCTCAGCCACAGAATAAAGTACTGGACTTGAGAACTGTTTTGTTGCTGGATTAAATGAATTTGTGTTTAATCAATGAGCTGAACCCAGCTCCAATCGTGTTTTTCTGTGTCCTAATCACCGCCAGGATAGGATAGATCAGCTCGGAAGTGCACTTGGAACAGCAAATCCATACATGGCAGTCAGGGCACATGACGCAGCCAGATGCAAAAGGAAATCCCTGCAGGATGTGCACATGCTAGGCATACTCGCAGCTTTAGAAAGCAGGTGTTATGGTTGCAGCACCTATGCAAGGACATGGGGGTCAGAGGTGCACATACAAGACACAAGCATCAGCACACCGACAGCGGGAATCAAGAGTCGGTAGCCAAATTTGAATGGACTATGTGGTTGAGAACAGACTGCCAGATTTGCAAAAACCTCAGACTGGCGGAATGGTGCACTTGGAAATGGCAACCTGCTGCCATTGTCTAACTATTGGACCAATTCCACATACTGTAATTCGATTATAGTTGTATTTACTACAATTGCTTGGTAGGTTTTGGGCCTTGAGAGCTGCCAGGTCTGCCAAGTAGAGCAAAAGAGGTGAAAGCCTTGAAGATGGATCCGGTGCCTCTCCTAATGATGCCAGAGGCGGGGTGAGGACCGGTGGTGGCCCTTTTGGGTCATCATAATCACAAATTCAATTCCAACACTCAGCCAGCCAAGATTTCTTTCTGAGAAACAGAAAGGTTGGATTTCTTGGAGAGGCAGTGCCTGTGATGCATTGCGACGCTCTTGTCAAGCTGGCCAATGATCAGAACCTGTGGGTTCAGTCGAGCACTTTGACAAGACAATCAATGCCTTTGCATTATTACTAGTAGCGATGCACTTGTTCCTAGTAGCAGATCCTTTCACATGGAGTGGATGTTGGAGCAATGTGCAGACGATAGGATAGGACAAGACTACAGCACATGTGACATGCGCCTTTCTGTGCAGGCCAGGAGCCCCTAGTAAGTAGCGATGCCAGGAGCCCCTAGTAGCATCATGTTTAAAGGCTCAGATCATGTTTTCAAGGTGAGCTGATGGCGACCCATTTGGGTGGTGAGATGTTCGTCTCAGCACGGAATTCCTCCACGGCAGTTCTGTCCTGGCACTCCAACCCATCAGCTCCTTGGAACATTTAGCAGACAATTACAAATGCAATACTGTACCATCATACAATAATGTATATACAGAATAGAGAGAGAAACCTTCGTGGATCACTGATGGTCAGTGGAGCACCAAGAGCTAGGGTTCAGAATAGAGTTCTTTTTTTGCATCGCTGCAACTAAGATGAGAGGAAGTTCAGTTTGTTGTCCCCTGCATTTTCTAGTGATCAGCCTTGGACACCTACGATGCACATACGATGCACAAGTCGCAAGTCAATGGGAAAGGACTTATCCACGCATGCCGCATGCCTACTTGTTGGATAGGTGCCGTTTGCATTCCATACCTGATCCATGCGCTCCTGTCAGCCCAAGCATGTATCGATTCCAACTTCAATAGGCCACAGATGCCTACTTAAACTTGCTGGGGCCCGTGCTTGCGGCGAGCCACGGGCTCATGAACCATTCACAGTCGTTCACAACTTGCAAGCGCTAGCTGATGAAACTTCTTGCAGCAACATTTGGTTTTGATGTTAAGCCCAAGGTGAAGGCCGTACGTTCATGGGCAGCACAGACATTGGACGTGCCAGAGAGCTTCATCGCGCCTTTGCAATTGGTGAGGTATACCGAGGGCCAACAGATCGGACTCTTAACTGCAGTTGATCAACACGCAACGACGAGCTAGATCAAGATAGCAGATAAGAAGGATGAAAACAGGCCCAGCTTTGATTGGACCAAACTGCAAAATTACTACACCTGGCTCTAGTGCGCACAAGTTCACACGTTCGAGGGTCCCACATGGACTGGCACGACGAGCGAGATGCTGGGCTGTGGGTTTTCGGTCAACGGATGGAGCTTTGGATGCAACGATGGCTGGACCAAGCACAGAGAGAAAAGCTTCCCAACGAATCTAGGAATCAAATGTGTCAAAATGAATAGTGTGAGCTATCCTGCGTGCAGTAGGTAGTAGCGGTTATTGTAATTCAGAAGGCGCCTAGTACTTATATAATTGATAAGAGTGAGGGCAACGGGGGCAACAGCCTAAAAAGAAACAGTTACTTTACTTCAAGTGATCCCCACCATGGCCGACCATGGCAGTATCCTTTTCTGATAGCCGACGGCTATATTGCGTCAACATCACCAAGAAAGTGTTTATTGATGATCTTGCATATATACCGTAATATACTGGCATATGTTATGGCATGTATCTGGCATATATTCAGTCATTCTATTTATATATATATATATTATGTTACTACATATTCCATTCTATCTGGCATAGTTGATAGCATTCTTTCTGGATCTTTCTGGCCTTCTTTCTGTATCTGGCAGGTGCAGGTCTGACGGTGCCCACTGCAATCTAGCGCTCGCGGAAACAGGACAAGTGATGCTCACCGCGATCTAGCGCTCACGGTTGAGCCAGCAGTTGAACCAGCTGATCGGTAATTACCCCTTTTGCAACGGAGAAGTCGCAGAAGCTGGCACCTACAGGCACTATTCTTGGGTTAGACTTCAGGCTCCACAGAGCACCATTCAGTGGCCTTCTGGGTGCGAGAGCCAGAGCGACTCGAATCCGAGGTCCGCTCAAAAGACTGGCACATCAGCTCCCACTGCAATCTGTTTGGCGCTCGCGGTTAGGCCCACTGCAATGTAGCCTTGCGGTTGAGGTCCGGCAATCGCAGCTCAGGCCCGGTGGTGCCCACTGCGATCTAATCTCACGCTCGCGGTTGAGTGCCGGCGGTACCCCTTGCGATCTAGCGCCTGTGGTTGAGGTCCGGCGGGGGCCCACTGCATTGCTCTGATAAAGTGTGACCGCGTTCACCCGGTAGGTGGGTAATGGTGGGGAACCAGAAGAAGAGCTAGTAACTCAATGCCAGTTGGGACACACTCCGGTACTTCCTTTGAACTGGGCCCGGGGTGATACCGCGTTTTGTCGCCCAAGGCCACCATGTTGGTTTACCTCAGCACTGTGCCCAAAGGCTGGGGCACAGGAGTAACTATGTCCCAGGTCTGGCTTGGAGACAAGCGCAGTGAACTCAAACGGTATCTTTGCGCTGTTTATGTCGAAAGGCCGCGGAAACAGAAAGTGAAAGCGCAACGAATACAGATGTGCAAGAACAACTTTATTTTCGCAGTGAATCTTAATGGCTCCATTCTTTCATGTGCAAATGTGGGCATGTTCATCCATCATGGTGCAGGCTCTGGTGGCGAAACCCACTTCGGTTCCTTGGGGGTCTCAGTGCAGCCGCAGAAGGGTTCCGCCATCCTATGGCCAAACGTGAACGACATAGGCGAAACGATCGGCGGGTTGAACGGTCAGCCGAATTGGAGTGGTTTAATACAATATCATGGTGTTCCGGTTTGTGAACTTGCTCTTTCAATGACATTTAAAGATCTCAGTTGCTTGCAGCAGTTCCAATCATATGATTGCAAGTCCTGCAAGTCAAACTAAAACCGATGATTTCCAACTTGTTGTGACCCTCGTCCAGGCTCACCCGAGAAAAGGACGATCCATTCAGGGCGACCTGTTGAAGGAAAAAAGGCCATGTATGTTTGGGTTTGGGACAGTGTTTTGACTTTTCCACCCCTGAGTGCCATTAGGCGCATAGTATTGTTTGCTGGCCAGTGTAGTCACAAGCCTTGTCTCGTTTTGTGTCGTATGATTTCTGATCAGCAATCAGCCATAATGCACCCAAGAGAATCCAACAGTGCAGGTCAAGTACGCTATGAACATTTGGATCTATGGCCGGAAGCAGCCGGATGACTCATGGATTAGATGGCCTCGCTGATGGCAGAAGCTGTGACGGCTGCCTCATGCCCTTTTTTGCCCATTGAAATAAACATATCTGAAAATATCTGAAAATGTTAGGCACCACAGTGAGATGCAGGTGGAGATGCGGAAGTGTGACATGCATTGAGATGTCTGGTAGTTTCTATTGAATGTTGCAATCTAACAGTCCTGTTTAGTTGGTGTTTCCGACGCTAAAATCTGCTCACTGGTTGTTCAAAGCTCATGGATTCCACCGCAGAATTGGGCAGAGTGAAAGCAGTTTCAAAGAGAGCTCAAGACATTCCTGCTGCGATGTAGGCTCCTTGTGCTGTTCCTTATATGTAGTTGTCACTCATGTGAATTCTCTTCTTGGAACTATTGGAACTGCTTGGGGTTGGCCTGCAGTTGAAAATGACTGGCTTGCTGACCAAATCCATCCAGTTTTCCCAAAGTCGAAGAGTCGGAACATGTCAGACTTCGAGATAGTTAACCAACTTAACCTGTTTTGGAATAGTGCCTTGCATGGTGCGACATGGTGCGACTATATATATATATATATGCTTCCGTTTGTTCAAGACAAGGCCACAGACGACAGACTTCTTCGTTGCTAGTTCGAGCTAATGCCATGCCAAGCTGGCAAGGAATAAACTCCCGCACTGTTTGGCTTGCATTGGGGGAAAGATTGGCTGTGCGCACCACAGTCAACGGCAGCGTGCCACATTTTGCCAAGAAATTCAGGCAATGTCCACCAAACAGAATGGATTGCCATGGGTGGCATAGGCAGCATGTTTGCTATTCTTTGCACATTATGAGCAAACTATTGAATTGTGATGACTTGCGTAGTTTGGCTCAGATGGATCGATTGGCGGTCTAGGAGTCTAGGACCCTAGGCCCTAGAGCTTGGGGGTGCACTCTGACTATGGATGTGAGACTTTTCTTGGTGCTCTCCTTGCTCTTCGAAGTGCTTTGCGGGGCCAAGCTGGCCTATAGCATAGCAAAGGCACGTCATGCCTCTGGTTTTATCTCTAGATTAAGCCGGCTAAGCCGGTGTTTCTCTTGGATTTGCCATTGGGTTGGAATGTTGCGATCTTTGCTTTGGGGTGAGAAAACAATGATAGACAATGAAGTTGCTTCCTTGCGCCTTGCCTGGTCCCACAAATTTCTTTGTGTGTACGCTTTCTGCACAACCTGCTCAATAGTGTCGATCCAATACAACATGGTACTGGGCCGTGCCCGCTGGATGTCGCCAATTGCCACGTGGAGTAGCCTCGTACTGCAAGCAGGTTTTACTGTGTACTTGCTTTGTCCAAATCTCGTGGACAAAAGCACTTTGAATGGACTCTACTTCCTGGGAATGCTGATGGCAGGGAGTTTCCTTTCGCCGTGGCACTCTGAGTCAGATCAGCTCCTGGACGTTGCACTCATCATCTTCATTTTTGCCCGCCTGCCACTCATTCTGCTTTGTACACGCCCCTTTATAGTGCTTTTTTGCAACTTATGCTTGCTCACTGCAACCGTGTACAGAGCATACACAGACGATGAAGTAGAACTGGAGGGAAGCCTTGGGTCGGCCTATCATGTGCTCTGGGTCGAAGCGGGCACTTGCATAATCACGTTAGTTTCCAGCATAGCTTTGCAACAGATGTTGATTCACAAAGTGGAATTGAAGATTCAAAGTGACAATGCAGCAACGCAGTTCGGTGCGGCCTCATCTCTTTTGACCCTGATGTGTGATGCAGTGGTAGAACTGGATAGTAACTTTTGCCTTACGGAGCATTCCAGTGCTTTGGCCGCCATGCTTCTCAAATCCAACAACATTTCAGGTGCCAGCTTGCTGAGTTTCATGCCATCAGAGGACGCAGAGCGTGCCTTGCGACACTTGCAACATTTCGGTGCACAATTTTCCACCGTGAAACGCTCCAGACCTACACCTGTACAGCCAGCACATGCTTTCCACACGCACATGGTGGACAGTTGCGCCACCAGGCTCTCCACCGAAACTCGGCATGATTTCGTATGCTTTTGTCAAAGGGGCTTGCTTGAGCACAACTTTTTCTTTTAGAACATCCCATCCTTTGCAGGTTCTTGTGTTGCAGGAAGGGAGGTTCTCACATGTTCTCGATGTTTTTCTCAATTTGCATGGCTGGGCCACAGAGCAGGAAGTCTTTCAAGTCAAGTATACCAAAGCAGACGGGCAGCAGTGTCATTTGGTGGGCCTCCGAGAATTCTCAGACAAGACTGCAGGTGTAGACTCGTTCAACGAAGAGTTGTTGACAATCAAGCGCAGTGGCAGCATGCATTCCTCCTCTTCAGTCGAGGATCGAAGCCAAGCTGATGGAGTCGCAGAGGTGAAGGATGAGAATGAGAGGTCGCAGAAATTAGATGACAAGAAAGTAACTCTCGACATTGAAATGGATGGGATGACAGTTGACAGTGCGTCTGCACCAGTTGCAGGCTGTGTTGGAATGCGAGTCACCCAGCTATTTCCGGTTCCCCACACCATCCATCTTCTCGAACGACTTCGCAAGGAAGCTGTGATGCTGCAGTCTCACGGTCAAAGTCTACGAGGCACTACGTACACATTTAATGACATGCCGGTTCGCTTGGCCCTAGATGGTTCGCTTGACAGCATTTCGGGCACGATGAAGGTGACAGGGACCACGTTTGGCCCACATGTCATCATGTCTTTTACCAGGCCAGCGAGCGAAGAACATCAATTTATGCCAGTAACACTCGTGCAATCTCACTCAGAATCCTCCGGATCGTCGCAAGACGATGGGTCCATCCCATCTGCCACATCAATCAGGATTTGATAACCAGGTGAGCTGACGTCTCCATGCCTTTGATTCAAGTCACGGCAAGTGTGTGAAATGCGTACATAGTATTCTTGAAAAGCCACCAAAAAGATGGCGTCACCTTTTTTCCAGGCAATTACTCTTCGAACGAATGGTAATCCCATGTAACTTGAAACTCTTTGTCCGCAGTCCAAACGTTTCGATTGTTTCCTAACTTTACTGTAATTACTTCATCTCTTGTTGGCGGAAAAGATGCGGATTGAGCTTTCGACAGTCTCACCAAAATCAGTTTTGTGGAGTTGAGGCTTTTGGGGGCCTAAGCAGCCCCACTGACCACCCTCGTCATCCCTAGCTAGAGAGCAATTCAATCAAACCGCACGCATTCCGCGACCAAAATGTACCTGGTGAGCATGACGCTTCAAGGCTTTAAAGACTTGGGACACATTGAGATACATAAGTTTATGATAGTTTACGCACGTTGATCCCTGTGCATTGACCAATTGCCGGTCAGAAAAGCCAAGGCGAACACCAGGAGCAGGAGAATATTCCTTGCCTTCCGTTACCTTCCCAGAGGCTATACTGCGGAATTGACTAAAGTTGGCGTAGGACCCGGGATATGTCTCCGGTTTTGAGGTTGTGTGACCCACAGTGGTGGGAATATGTAATGTGCCAATGTATTGTATATTATATACAGTTTAAAGATTTGCCGGCTGAATGATGTTTAATTTGGTCAAGCTTCAAGCTTCAACTTATCCAAGACCTGGTTCATCCTCTTGAGCTAGGTGGTGGAACATGGAGGCTCGCAGACAGGCCCAGTGAACATGACTGGAGGGTGAGCAAGTGCGTGCATGAGAGAGAGAGAGGTAGAGAATGAGTGAGTGAGTGAGTGAGGGTCTGAGACACTAAGTCACTACAGCCGCTGAGATGGCGCAATCACCTCATTGTATGGGTCATATTGGCCTTATTCATGAAGATCATGCCGTTTACCGCGCTAGCGAGAGGCTGAGACTAGCTGCGGTTCAATTAGGCATTTCATTCAGCTTTGGGCCTGTGTTCCGGCCATCACCTCATTGTACTGGTTGTAGTGGTCTTGTTCATGAAGATCATGCCGTTTACCACGCTAGTGAGAGGCTGAGGCTTCTTGAGCTTCGATACAGGATTCCATTTAATTTAGCATTACTGTATTATTTGAGCCTTTGTTCCTGCCATCACCTCATTGCATGGGTCATATTGGGTTCATGAAGATCATACCGGTACCTTTTACCACGCTAGTGAGAGGCTGAGGCTAGCTGAGCTTTGATAAAGGATTTCCATTGAGCTCGTCGTCACTTCGCGACCGCGAGGTGGTTGGAAGTATGTGGACCACAAGGCAGTTTTTGTTTGGGCGAGCCCGCTTTGGTGCCTCTTGAGAGTGCTTGTTCTCTGAAGATCTGTGTGGGGAGTGGAGCTACCCACTTGCAAGGGCGTCCGCCTCGTTTTGGAACGCGAATTCAGCTCGTTTCGGAACGCAGTTTTTGGCTCCCACGTTCCCGCTTGGTTTCTGGGGACCGGTTTCTGGGAAGTGGTTTCTGGGAAGTGGCTTCTGAATGTTTCTTTTTTGGGGGAGTGGTGAAGGCCTAAGGCCAACCCAAAGACATCCTAAAGAAGCAAGCCCCTAAGCCAAACCAAAAGAAACCCTAAAGAAGTGAAGCCACAAGCCAAACCAACCAGAGACCCTAAAGAAGTGAAGCCCTAAGTGAAACCCAAGACATCCTAAAGGAGTGAAGCCCTAAGCAAAACCAAAACAGACCCTAAAGAAGTGGTGAAGCCCTGAGTCAAACCCAAAGACATCCTAAAGACGCAAAGCCCTAAGCCCAACCACAAGAAACCCTATAGAGGAGTGAAGCCCTAAGCAAAACCAAAAAAGACCCTGAAGTGAAGCCCTGAGTCAAACCCAAAGACATCCTACAGCAGCAAAGCCCAAAGCCAAACCAACCAGAGACCCTAATTAAATGGGTGAAGCCCTAAGTCCCTCACAAGTGAAGGCCTAAGTCCAACCCAAAGACATCCTAAAGAAGCAAGGCCCTAGGGCAAACCAAAAGAAACCCAAGTGTTCACTTGTGGAGGAAGTCTCGTGCGAAGCGCTCACAATGTTCATTTTTGAAGGAAGTCTCGGACGACACGCTTGTTTTGATGAAGGCTTGCGTCGATATGCGTGGATCACTACTTTTAGATTTTAGAGGAAGTCTCCTAAACCCTCATTTGGCAGACTTGCGTGGCTCACTTTTGGAGGAAGTCTCGTGCTCCTTTTGGAGCATTGCACGGCTCAAAAGTTGAAGGACGCCTCATACGAAACGCTCGTTTTGGAGACTTGCACGGCTCACTTTGGAGGAAGTCTCGAACGAAACGCTCATTTTAACTAACAAATGATGCCTTCGAAGCACTACCGAAGGATGTGTGTTCCAAAATGATCCGCGAAACTGGTGTCAGACTGCGGTCCCGGATAGTTTTCTGTTCCTCTGTGTTCCAAAATGATCCGTTTTGAGGTTCCAAAATGATCCGGGTGCCTTTTGCAAGGGGGCACCCGGGAGGAAGTAGAAACATTTCCGACCGCATACAGTCTGAGCCAAACCTGCGAGTGCTCACTTCATCTCACTTCCAAGTATATCGTTCAGCTCGTTCCACGCTTACAGATGAAATCGCGCCACTTATTTCCTTACTCAAAACACCGCGACGCGCTTGCAGCTTACGGACGGACTTGCGCGACCCAGGTTGGCCTCTAGCATAATCTAGCATATTTTTGGCGTGGACGGGGTGGTTCGCCCCAGAATCAAGGGTTGTTCTCGGGCCCAAGCAGAAGACAGAAACCAGTTGGGGGGATTTCATGGCATGGCTGCCGCGCCTGCCACAAAATCTGCACTTTGAGGTTCACGAAATGCTCCGCCTGCCACAAAATGAGCAACTGAAGGTACTCAAAATCTTATGCCTGCCACGGAACCACTACATGAAAGCGCTATCAGAAAAAATGCCTAAAAAGAGCGCAAAAAAATAATCCAAAAAAATCGTCAACCTAGACCTAGTGGAAAGTGATAGTAATGTAAAAATATATATATATTATATATGTATGGCTCAAGTGAAAGATGCGTTACTGGTCGCCAACATGCATGACTTCACCCGACTGTGACAAGTTGATTGGTGATCTAAAGCGGCCACCCGGCATCACCCGGCTTTCCCCAGCTTCAAGTGGCGTGGAAGTAGAAGTGAAAAACGTCCGTGTCCTGCCCTTTTCCTTGACAGGCCTTCATGGAACGACTAAAGAAGCATAGGCTGGGTAGTGATTCGATGCGTTTTTTAAGTGAACCGTGCTTGGTGTGAACTTCAAGCTCTGGTGAAATCCAGCCACGGAAGAATGTTCGAGGGATGCTAGCAAACTCTTGGAATATTCAAAATCGACACTGAGTAGGTTCGTTGATGACACTCGGGAACGCAAGGAAGCTGGGGAATGAAGCCACGGCTGGCAGCGGTTACCAGCATTGTGTGTGCCATGTGCATATTGTGGGCGATGCTTGCATTGTCAATGGTGCTTTCACACATTACATCGTGAGTCATCTTGGTTTCCAGGCACAAACCGACAAAGCACTTCTTCGAACACTTGTACCATGAAGCTTGGCAGCAGCAGGGTGGGTCAAGGCTTTTAGACGCAGCAGCTAACCTTACGGTTGCTCTTCAGCATAATGTATTTTGCTGTAGTTGAATATGGTTCACATTCGGCACATCCTCATGCATTTGCTGTACTGATGCTTTGATCTAACCACAGAATTGCATGCCAGCCATAGATAGATAGGGACCATGAAAGACACCCTCAGAAAGTGCCCAACCAGCATTTTTTGCATGCTTTGCATCCTTCTGGAACTTGTTGCAGGAAATGCCGCATGTGACCTGTGGCTGCCTGAGGTATATATATATATATGTATATAATTTTAAGTCTTTGACACCCGTGGTAACTTGCAGATTTTTGGGTGATGTTCTGCAGAAACCCATGTTCTTGGACAAGTCATCTAGGGCCTTTCAAAGACTCAACCATTGTGCGAACTTTGCTTCTGTACTGTAAACTCAGGCTTTGAGATCATTGACCATGTGCACTGGCTCGCGGACTACATGTATCACTTGGACGCTCCGACATGTATGAGCTTGCTTATGGTGAAGACGGCACTCAAAAATGTCCAAGAACACAAAAACCAACTCCGGATGTCCATGTATATACTCAGGCAAAATGACAAAGAACTGTGATATATATATATACACCTCGAAAATCATGCGGCTAAGTCATGAGGACTTGCCCTACGTCCAAAAAGTTGTAGGTCATGAAGCAAAAGCTTGAACACATCAATATAAGAGATTCCAGAGGTTGTCACCAGCTATCTTCAACACGATTTTAGATTGACAAGCGTCATGACCTTTAAGACTTTGGTATCTAAACACTGGATAAACACTGGCGACATAGGAATTTGAGAGTGAAAACCCTTAGAGGTAAACTTCATAGAGGTAAAACATAATGACGTTCCTATGATACGTTCGCTTTCATTAGCTCATACTAGCTCTAATCTTCGAGGAAGAGGACCCCCAAAAAAATGATGATGACCGGGTCGGAATGGCCTATGTCATGAGTGCTTGCCACTGAAATTATAGGTTTTACACTTCTACACGACTTAGACTCAGACCTTTCCTTGGGAAAGTTGTATATCATTTCAACGCACTTGGCCTATGTCATTTGACCTCAGTATATAACTATATATCTATTCTATGTCGATCAGACCGGAGTTCGCAGATCATGAGCCAAGCCTTCAGGCATCAACTGGTAATTGGGACTGATCGCAGAAAGCGCTTGTTAAGGCGCAAAAGCAGTGGAACATCGACACTTTTGTGGACGAGAGGGAGCAGGCTGCAGCAGATTTGATGTGCAAATTTGGGCATACCTTAATTAGTGGTACCAGCCTTAAAACACGTGAGATGAGCCAAGATTATGAGCCTGCAGACAG